GTTATTTAATATCCCTAATATTTGTTGTAACTTTTTTTTTTTTTAATTTCAAAGTCTCTGTGACGGACAGGTCACATTTAGTATGAAGGGCAAATCTTCACTGCTACTCTCTCTCCTTTTGTAAGCCAATCAATATATTCATTTAATATAAACTGTACATGAAGTGCAGAGTAAAAAAAAGTGCTTGACACATGACTGTTTACTGCAAATTTTCTTCACACAATTTAAAGTTTGTCTTGACATTTCTGGATCCTGGAATGACTGGTGCAGGCAGGCAGGCAAAGCCTTTAGTAGCAAATTACTGTCTCACAGAAAGACATTTTCAGCTTCTGCTCCAGCTGCTGATTAAAAAAAACACAACCCAAGTCACATGTTCAGCTTGACTTCAGACATGGGCAACCTGCTCTTTTATAACTTCTAGGGAAAAAAGGAATTGTTAGTAGATATTAAAAATGGAAATAATGATTTGGACATAGATCCTTCGTGAAGACGTGGATGGGCTTATGCTCGAAGTCCCAGAATTAGTCCAATGTATGCTCAAGGAAAATGTTTGTTTTGAATGGAGAGTAAGAAACCTATTTGTTAAAGACAGGTACTGCAGCTCAGTGCTGGACCCTGCTCTTTGCCTGACTGAAGGCAAAAGCCTCTTACAGTCTAGGTAAACAAAATGAAACAAATGAAGGATACATAATTACAGATTTTTAATACCCTTCCCCAAAAAAGAAAGGACCGTTGATAAATCCTGCAGCCATGGCAAAAGTTTCAAACAATTCTGAAATATGTAGGTCAGTTCCATTAAAAATCAAGTATCCTTGTTCAGGTTTTAGGAGAGTAACTGTTTAAGTATCAGTGAGCTCCTCTGAATAGGCTAAAAATTAAGTTTCGCAGCAATGCAAGTTTGTACGAGAAGGGAATTAGATTTGCAGTATTCCATCTCTTTCTGAACCGAACAGGAGGCACAAACCGACACTGAAAGTTTTGCCATGGACTGTCTCTACTTTCCAAACGACCGAGCGTTACCTCTCTGGCTTTTTGTGCTGCAAGTTCAGCTTGTCGCTGTCGCTCGAGTTCTTCGAGCAACTGTTTTTCCATGATGCGCTTAGCCTCTTCCACCCTGCGGAGAACCTCTCGCTCAATCTCATCCTTCCGTTTCTCCAACTCTTCTTCTACGCGTTTAGCCACGAGCTCTTCCACTCTTCGAGCAGTTTCTTCCTCTATTAGTTTCTCTTCAATTTCTTGTTGACGGCTAGAAAATGCAAACATGAAGATTACCTTTTTTAATAAATAATAAAAAGGGTATATAAACAATAAAAAGGGTTGCAGTGAAATGAACTCCTGCAAATGCAAAGCACCAACCACACTACTGAATCAACTTCTAATGGTTTTATGGTTTTCTCACATAGGTTGGATATTCCAATAACGTTTCAATAATGTTTTTCCCTACATGTATTGTAGTGAACCTTCAGGCAACCTGTGTTTCAACCACATGGACCATTAAGATCATACCATATTTAGCATCTCTCCTTATCTCTAGACTGTTAAGCTTAAGAAGACAGCTTATCATACTACTTCTTGAGATGAAAACACATAGTTTTTAGGGAAAGAACACCTCTCCACCAAGTTTGGCCATCCTTCACCCTTTAGGGATTTAAATGGTTTCAAATGTAGTCATAATATATTGCAAAATCTTGTCTTAAAACAAACATCTCAGTGGCACCAAGCTAATCAGAAGTGATACATTTTGTAATTTGAATATTTATTAAGAATTCTAGGTGTTGTTTCTGCAATCTACTTATCCAATATCTCATCAAATTTCAAATACTTCAGCTCTCCTCTAACTTGTCTACTGCAGCACTGTTTCCACCATAATTATCCAATATACCAACACCAAGCACTAAAAAAATCCTTGCAACCTTTACAGTCTTTCATGTCCTGAATTTTGGAAGCATTTTTAAACGTCAACTTTTCTTTATATATGTTTAGCAACAACATTATTACTTAGTTTGATCACTGTTTAAGTTTTCATTAAAAAGGATACAGAATGATTAGGTCAATTCCTAGGTTTATTATGAAATGAAGAAAGAATATCTTCCAGGTAGTAATCACTAGTACAGTACGGCAATTAGATATCCAAATATTAACTATGTTCTTTTTACAGAGTGAATACTGTATAGCTGTGTTTCAGATGGCACTATTCATTTAGGATTATTACAGGCTTTGGGGGAGAATGCTGCTCTTTTTAAACCTCGAAACTGAACCTTCATTTCAAATATTCTATAAAATACAAAACAATCTTATAAACCTATCTTGTGGCCTGTCAGCACCAGAAAGCCTCAATTTAGAATGACATCAATCATTGTTAGTATCCTAATATCCTGTAATTTTCATAATCCTTGCATATTTCTATTTATACTGAGACACGTAAAAAGAACTTTACGTATAGGAGATTATGAAGTATAGACTGCAAATCTAGATAGTCAGCTGAAATACCAAGGTGAAAGGCTCAGAAATTGTTCGCACATCTTTTCAACCAAACTCATAGTCCCTCTCCTTTACCGAAAAGTTTTGGAAATCCCAACTTAGACATTCAACCCCAGAAGACTAAATTTATTCTTCCATTTCTCAGCAGATAGCAAATTCTTCCAATGACACTTTGGGCTAGTGCTCACTTTTTCTAAAGTGACAAAGTATCCTGAGGTAATTTTCCGAAGGGAAAATGGTCCCCATCAGTACCCAGAAAAATACATCAGACATGTCTTTGCCAAGTCAGTAACTTGTAGGCCTTTTTTGGATGGAAGTTGGAGAACAGTCAAAAGTTTTTTTTACTTATATACACACATATATATGTCGGTTAATACCCTTTACATACCAAATAACTTTCTTTTTTTAGAAAAAAATATTCCCTCCTAGCGTTATTTATTCAGTCACAAGTACTTTTACAGTCCTGTAAGTCTTTTCTAGAAATCTGTTTTTCAGAAAGCTCACAATCAAATGTTTATTCAATTATTTTAGCTTTCCTTTAATATTAAGGAAAATGAGAATAAAAGTTAGCTAACTGAATAATGATAGTACAGTTATAAAAAAACAAACCCTAACGCTCAGGCCTAAAGTAACTTTACAAATATCCTCAGCAATCAATGATGCATTCAAATTAAGCTCTGTGCGTTGCACAAATTTCATTCTTCTCGCCTCCACAAATTCCATTTGTATTCCACTAAACTGAGCAAATACATCTTTTCGCAAGCACAGGCAATGACAGTTTTATAAATATAACTGTTCAATATACAGGACTACATTTCTTGGAGCACTGGAAACAAAAAGAAATGAAACAGAGTAAGATCAAAATCTATTCACAAAATTCATTTATAATGAATATGCTTACGGATAACGACAACATACTTCTAACTATTTACTGGGTGTCTCAAGAAAATCAAGTTACAAAGATACATATCTCAGTGATTTAATAGTTGATATCAACTACTTTTTTTTTTTTTAAATCACTTATAGTACATTATATACAGATTTAAGTTTATCACCCTGACTTACTGAGCAATAACCCCAGAGAAACAGAGAAGCCATTAACGTAAAAATATTTTTAGTATGCTCCATTTAATTCCTAAAACTAATTTTAGAAAATTTGCAAAAAAAAGCAAATGCTTAGCAGTTGGCAGATTTCTGAGGAAAACAACAACAACAACGCTTATTTATCATTTATGAAAACTTTGCTATAGAAAACTATAATCACAAGTAAAATCAGGAGTTAGGCTATGTGTTAAGATTTGAACAGACACAAGAAGAAAGTCACTTTCGATATATAAATTGTCTGCTACTTAATTTAGTCAGCAAGAAATTACTTATTTTATTTCCTGAGTATATGTAACACAATTTATAAATGAGTTCAGATATCACACTTGTATGCTGCATTAAGATTTATTGTCTGATATTGTTTTTGAAATTTGAATTACATTTTGGAAACATCAAAATTCCATGTCTAATCTTTTCCAATGTTGTTTCTCACTCAATAGTTTACTATTCTGTTGCCAGTATCAACCAAACACTCGTGCTGCAGAGACTTCATGAGTATAATTTCAAAGTTTTCTGACTTGCATAGAAAACATCGCAGAAAATAGACTTGAAATGTATGTTGCTACATCAAATTCATTGAATGAACAGGCTACTTTCAATCGAAGCACTCCACTGAAGCAAAACAGATCAAATATTTTAAACACATTGTTAAGCACATTCCGAAGGTGTGTGGATTTTTTTTTTTTGTAATTTTGGTTCTGAAAAAAATGTAAACTGCAAAATTAGGGCTAATGATTCAAAAAGCATGTGATGTTTTCGTGTACATTTGTATCACTACATTAAGTTTCTATGACATCACTGTCAAATTCTGAAGTTAGGAAATTATCAAAAAAAAAAAAAAAGCAACAATTCAGGGTGATCAGACCTTCTGAACTACAAATAGTACTTCATTAGAGTAGCACAACTGAAATAAAACTTCAACCTCCACCGAAGAATTAACAGAACTAGTTGACTTCACACATACAAGTGCTATCTCTAGACTTGGTGCTCTAAGGAGCGAGGGCTGCATCAAATAAGAATTACTTTAGCACAACTCTTACAGCTGTTGTTACCTCTGCTGAAGGTCTCTTTCCTAACTTACGGACTTTGCTAGACATCTTTAATGTACAGCAACAATCACTTTAAAACGTACACCCAACATTAAACATGATTTATTTATCTTTATGGACTTCAGAAACTTATTATATTCCCCACAATGAAAACTGAAAAAGGAAAAGCTTTATATAAAACAAATCTCTGGATCTCACTGTCCCATTTGAAGAGGAATGGAAAAAGTAAAGTCAAACGCAAGGTTACAACAATGGTTGCTGAGCACTTCTTGAAACCCTAAGATGGGCAACTCCAAATGCCTTTGCTCGACGCATAATAAGTACCACGCACAGAAGGGGAGGGGCAGAAAGTGTGGCAGTGCAGCACAAAAGCCTGCGGGGCGCGGAGGCCCCAAGAGGCAGAAAGAAGTTTAAGAGCAGCGCAGGAGAGCGGCAGATAGGAAGTGAGCAGCGCGTCTGGGTGACAGGGAGGCGACGTGCAGCAGGCTCTCGCTCTGAGTGGGCGGCTTCAGCACTCTTGATAGAACGAGCCTTTAGCAGAGGGGAGGATGGCGGGAAAACAGGCAGAAGTTAGGCCTCAGCGAGGGCCTAGGCGCCTTCTCCCCCTGAGCAAACGACTCCAGCCTGGGGGAGGAAGGCGAGGCGAGCCAGGCCCTAGGGCACAGCGCACCCCCTCCCTCGCCCACCCCCCCGGGATGCCCCCAGCCCAGGCCCAGCACTCACATTTTCCGCTGCCGCTCGAACTCGGCTTTTTTCTCCTCCTCCTCCCGCTTCTGCTTCTCGTCCAGGCTGCTGCGCTTGCTCACCGTGCGCCCGAAGATGTCGATGCGGTCGGGCGGGGACGAGGCGCGCTCGCGCTCGCGCTCCCGGTCGCGGCGGGAGGAGGGGGCCGTGTTGGAGCGGGACCGGGACCGCGACTCCCGGCGCCGGTTGCGTTTGCTCTCCCGGGACTTGGAGCGCTTCCGCGCCCGCTCCTTCTCCCGCGAGCGGGACCGCGAGCGGCTGCGGTTCTTCTTGTTGTGCTTGGAGCTCTTGGTGTGCTTGGAGCGGGACGAGCTGCGGCTGCGGGACCGGCCCATCCCGGCCGACGAGAGGAGAAGGCCGCGCCGGCGGCCGCCCGAATACCCCCGCCCCCTTCGCTAGCAGCGCCCGTGGAAGGCACGGGGAGGCTCCGGGCGCATCAGCTCCGCCCGGCCGGGCGCCTCGTCCCCTCTCTGTCCCCTCGCTCCGCGCGGCGAGGGTGAGGACGAGGAAGCGGGCCCCGAGAGCGGCAGCAAGTCCGGGCGCAGACAAGATGGCGGCCCTTAGAGCGGTGACTCTCCGCCCGCCCCACAATGCACCGCGCCGCAGCCCGAGCCGTTTGCTCCCCCTCCCCGCCACCCCCGCCTCTGGCGGCTTTCCGGAGGTGCACGAAGCCGCTCGGCAGCCTTCGGTAGCCAATGAGAGGCGGCGCTGCGGGAGTGAGAGCCCGGCAGGCAGCGTGTCGCTCTGCGCACGCGCGAGGCTGACGGTCCGTTGCGCAGCCGCCGCTGCCAGTTTCGGGGGCGGTTGTGTGGGGCTGGCGCCTTGTGGGGCCGTGTGGCGGGGGGCAGGGGGGTAAGGGGGGCAGTCGGCCTTATGGAGGGCTGCCCGGCCCCGGGCGTTGTCCTGGGTGCCGACCGCAAGCGGGAAGTGTGGCAGAGCCGCCCTCAGGTGTTTCCCCACCCCCCCCTTCGCCAGGGGGTTGGGATTTGCTTCAGTAACCACCGAGTCCTGTAGCGAGGTGCTGCGCAGTGGAGTTACTGCGCTTGTGTTACCAGAAACTTTTAACAGGCCTCGATTATTCTTGTAATTAACTTACGTTATGTCAACATAGGAGATACTGTTCCCATGCAGATTATAGAAGTTAGCAAAAAAAACCCTTAACCATCCCCCCCCCTTCCCCCAATAAAATTCTGAAAATTATTTTTTGTCATTTCTCTGGTGAACTGCACAGTTACTGGCATCTGTTTTACTGCAGCTAATCTCCAGCTTGGCACCAGTGGACGTCTGGTTTGATACCTGCTTGGGGGTGACTACATGTGTATATTGCTGTCTTTTGTTAACGAGTTACGCTGACAAAAGCCAGTTCAAGTCAGGTGGAGAGTATGAACTAGTGGTTCAGTGAGCATCCATGTATGAGGTTTTTTTAACCTTGTTCTGCCATGTAGTCATCAATGTTTTCTGTCATAACAAAATTTGCATCTGTCCTTTATTTCTGATGAAATTGGTGAATTTTCAACAAGTGTAATTACAGAAACTTTCTAAATTTCTTACCTTCAGTATTGGATGCGCTGGGCCTGGCTTGGAATATAGGGGGGGGGGAAAAATGGGACCCAGTAATTGCTTTAGCATCAGTTATGGGTCATAAATATGTTTTAAAAATAAGCACTGTAAGCATAGTTTTATCCTTGTTAGGGCACTGTTAGCAGAATATTTAACTTTTTGAAGAAAAAGTTAAATTCTACTAATTAACTACTTCTAATTCTACTAATTAGAACTAGAGAATTCTATTCCTTTTTAAAATCACTGATTTTTCCTTCAGAAGTATACAGATGCAGTATACAATATCAGAACAATTTATGGTCAGCTTGTGTAGTAGAATTAAATGATAAAATGAAATAATTGCTCTGAATCCTTATTATATTGCTCCATCTCTGCTTGTTTAAACTTCTGAATTAATAGGAGCACAATGTAAGTACCTGTACTAGAATAACGACAGGCCTCTTACCAGAATCTAGTCTTTGTAAGTGAGAAAGTACCCCTGGAAAAGAACACTTATTAAAAGGCCCTGAAAGCTATGCAATGCTGACAATTTTTAGAGGAATATTCCGTCTTGTGATTTCTGTAATTTCTTAGAAGTTTGGAATTTTTTTCTTCCTGTCATCTTATTTTGCATAGCTTAATAAAAATAAAATACATTTTTTTACTTTTTTATTTTTTATTTTTAGGTATTACTATAATGGATATGTAATAACAAAAGGGAAGTGTTTATGAATTCTTCTTAAGAACTTAATGTCATTAAGTATCTTTATTTCCTATATTAATTTAAAGGGAAGAAGGCCATTTCCCTGGTGAGTTCCCTTTTGAAATATTCAATATTTTAATAAAATATTAGGATTTTATTCTGGTTTATATTGTTAGAATTCTTGAGTTTTTCATCAAATGTAAACACCTTTATTCATGGCTGGTTAGCCATACTTAATTTTTATGAACTCCTGTGGTTTTGCATTATTTTTCTGCATTTTAATATGTTTGGTATATTAAAATGCATAATTTGCTTCTGAAAATAGTTGCCTTGGCGTTGGAAAGCACCTTATTTGATAGCCAAATAGTGGCATAATTAAAGCACCTCACCCCTCTGTAATATGGCTACTATCATATGAAATCTCCCAACCTGTAGGTATTTGGTGGTAACCCTGCAGTTAGATTCTGTATCCTGATAATCTGCAGGTCATGCCTGCTCTCCTGCCATCACTTCTGTTAGTAGCTGGGTCAAGGGAATCTTTGGAGATTGAAGGTGGATTACTTTGGTTTGTGTTGAGTGTGGCACAGCTGGATATTTCTGTAATAGGTCTAGAAGGGAAGGATTCTGAAGAGTAAGTAGAGAGAAAGTAACAGTACAGTTAGGTAAAGTGATCAGTATGTAATTTGCATATGTGGCTCTGCCAGGTCATAGTAGTAGTAAGAGGACAGACAGAAGAAGCACAGAAGATCTAGTTCTTGGAAGGGGAAATGGTTTAAACTGTCAATTCTTTCAAAGTAGCTATTTCAGCATGAATTTGTTACAAGGTCAGGAGCTGCGTATGCATGGTTTGTTTTTTTTTATGTGTGAGTCAGCATTGAGATTCATGCCACATTGTGGATTACAAAAGTTTGCAGGTGTAGAGATTGTATTACTTAATCACTTTTTCACACCTGATGCCAAAGTTGCTTATTTTACTTAGGCATTTTCTGTCAGCTGCTTTGTTTCTCCTTCAGTAGCACTATGGAGTTCTGAGCTGCTAAAATACAGAGGTAGAGAGATGAAGCATCAGGGAGAGCAGCAAAACAGTTGTGAGGCAGGGTTTTCACATTGTACCTATATAGAAATGCTGTGTGGATCATCTGTGTAAACATAGTTAATAGTTAAACTTTCAGAAAAGAGAATTTTAGGTGGTAATCATATCCTTAGAAAGAAAACTGCAGGACTCTGTTGAAAGTATTTTGTAATTTGGATATGGGGGGAAAAAAAGGCACAGCTTGAGCAATCTGAACTAGTGCGTGGAGGTATGATATAACATAACATCTACTTTCATTTCCAACTAGATTTAGTTTTAGAAAAGAAAATTACCAAATCATGATCAGCATGGTAATTTGATACAGTTAATTATTTTTTAAGTATACTTACCACTTTATTAATAAATTTGGGCTATTTCTCACTGCATGGAGGAAAGGGAAGGGGATGTCCATTTGCTTGCTTTGGTCACATTACTTAGTTCACTTACTGACTGAATAAAAGCTCTTGAACACTGTTAGAAGTGGTAAACATAAGTTTTGATCACAACTTGAGGCACTGATCTGCAGGATGTATATCCATATTCAGTTTTTCTCAGTGAATATTTTTAAAGACCAATGTTACATAGAATATGCAGATTTAATATTGTGCAGAAGTATTTATATCTGGACCTAAGACTTGGTTTACTGATGACTGATGGTAGTAAGAATCCAACCAGCCTTGTCCAGCAGCTGCATAACTGTGGAGATACTTCAGCACTGTAGGCATATTCTGATTTACCTGAAAGATTTCATGGCATTTGATGTGTTTGACTAGGGACTTAACCAGAAATGAGTTGGGGTTTCCTTTAAGTCTCATGAGAGACTGATCCAATAGGAATACATGGATAGTATTTTTTTTTTTTTTTAATAGAGTAGAAACAGACACTTATTCAAAAACAGGTTGCTCGTGATCCACTGGTTAGCATAGTAGTTAGACTAGATGGGCAGGTGTGAAGATTGAATTCAGGTGTGTTCTTAGTCATATCAACATCACTTCCCTCCCATGACAGTATGTTAATCAACAGGCCCCTGTCTAGGCTGGAGGAAGGTGAAAAGGGGGTTAGGAGCAAAGTCCCTTCTTAGTTGAAGCCAGGTAGATTTCACAAAATATGGAATATGCAGGTTAAAAGGCAGGAGGCAATATTGCTGTAATGTAATGACTGTAGTGCTCTGGAAGGGGGAAGTGAGTCACCCTGGATTTTGGTCCTTACTCACAAGACTGTTTCTGAATTTTATTTAATAGTCATGGGAAGAAAGACTAATCTTGAGAGCTGGAACGCAGAACTTGGCAAGTGCTGCAACCACTCGGATATTACATAACACTACTCCTACGGCAGCTGTATTTTAAAGAGGGTGAGCCATGCTCAGTTCTTCAAAGACTTGTAGG